TTTCCTAGTTCTTAGGAACATTAAAGACCAGCAAAGAGCCCTGCCTCGTGTCGCTGCCTTCCCTGCCCGCCCGGGGGGGCATGGAGGTCCCAACGTGGACCTTGGCGTGGGCAGCACCCCCTCCTCCCCAGCGCACCCCACACCTGGAGTCCAGCACAGGGCGCTGCACAAGCACCTTTATTAGCCCCCATGTCCTGTAAAAGGCTCCCCCCACCCCAAACAGCCCCCCCACTCCGGTCCCCATCACTCCAAYGTCCCCGGGGGCTCCCCGTGCACAGGGGCTGGTGACGCCACCATCTCCGCCAGGCTCCAGATCTTGGGCTGCGGTGGGTGGTGCYGCGGGGATCTCCTGGGGCTGCCGCGGCCCCCGCTGCCGTGCGGGGAGCCGGGGGCGCTGCCCGGCRGGGGCCCCTCGGTTCCGCCGTCGTCGGTGCCGCGCGGTGCCCAGGCCACCCCCTGCTCCTTGCGGAGACGCCGGCGCGCGTTGGCGAACCAGGTGGAGACCTGCGTGAGGCTCATGCGGCTCAGCAGCGCCAGCATCACCTTCTCRCCCTTGCTGGGGTAGGGGTTGCGCGGGTGCCGCCGCAGCCAGGCCCGCAGCGCCCCGGTGCTCTCGCGCCCGGCGCCCGCCCGGACGCGGCCCAGGGCGGGGGGACGGACGCAGGGTCCCGCACACGGCGACGGCAACGGCACCTGCGGGACACGGAGAGGCTGGGGGCACCGCAGGACCCCCCATCCCCATCCCTGTTCCCATCCCAGCTGCATCCGCAGGAACGGGCAGCGCTCCCGCCCCCCAGCACCCTGGGGTGCCCCTCTCACCGGCTGCGCCAGCAGTCCCGGCGGCGGCGGCAGGAGGCTGCAGGCAGCCAGCACGGGGCAGGCGCAGGGGCAGGGGCAGGCGCAGGGCAGCAGCGCCCGGGGGGGGCCCAGCAGAGGCCCCCAGGCCCCCCCACAGCCTCCCGGCTGGCAGCCCGGGGCCCCCTCGCCCCGAGGTGCTGCCATGGAGCCCAGAGCAGCCGGGAGCTGCTCGGGGCCTTTATAGCTGCGGGGCGCGGGGGGGCACCGTGATTGACGGCTGATTAGGGCCCAGCAGCTAATGCGGCAGCTCCGACCCCCGGCAGGGACCTCCCGCCCCCGGCCGCCCCGGGCAGGGGCGGGCAGGGCCCCCCCGGCACCCCCAGCACCGCCCCAGGCCGGGGCGCTGCAGGGGAGCCGGGAGGGGTGGGAGGGTGGATGTGAGCATGGATGGTGGGAAGGATGGATGGAAGGATGGAAGAATGGAAGGAAGGATGGAAGGAA